CGCACACATATGTAAACTAGCTTTTGCATATTTGCATATATATGAATATAGGATGAGTCCTCTAACACCAGGATCAATCCCAAGAATATCAGTTGGTTATAGGCATGAAGTAGAAGTTGATATTAATGGAATGATCAAATTGGTTGATTTGCTTCATTATGAAAAAACTGTTTGCCCTGAAACCTGGAGAGTAATAAATACAATTGCAAATGAGCTCAGAACTAAAAAAGTTCGTGTATCATTTTTTAATGCCACTCCTCAAGGTGGTGGAGGTAATTAATTTTGAATGGATTTGTTAATTTGTTAATTCAATTTTATTCCTGTTTTTATATTTATATATTTTATATTACTCAATTGATTAGTTGCTTTGATGAGACATGCACTTATACGTTTATGTCTTTTATTGGAACTTGATGTACATTGGTTTGTTGCCAAACCAAAACCTGAAATTTTTGATATCACAAAAAGAAAATTCCATAATGTTCTACAGGTAGTTAGTTGTTTGAAAAAAAAATTGTAACTACATAATAATGAGTTAATTAAATCCATTCATTTATTCTATATTTAAAAGGGTGTTGCTCCACCTGATGTTAGATTAACAAAATTTGATATGGAAGAATTCATTGATTGGTCTAATTCTAATGCCGAATGCTTTTGGAGTGATGATGAGGGTCCTATAAAAAATAGTGATGTGATAATTATAGATGATCCACAAGGTACACATAATATTCCATTATCTATATAACCAATCTTTATTCATTTATTTAAAATAATATAATCATACTTTGTTTATATTTTATATTATAGTTTGTGGTATTATTCCACACATCAAAAAACTTAATCCAACTTGTAAAATTATTTATAGAAGTCATATTGAAAGTAAGTTTTTTTTTTTTTTTTTTTTTTTTTTTTGATAAATCAATATTTATATAAATTACCTACATTTATTCAAGTTTGTGCAGATTTAATCAGAGAAAATCCAAATGGCCCACAAGCTGAAACTTGGAATTTTTTATATCAATACATATCACAAGCTGATCTTTTTGTATCTCATCCAATTGCAAATTTCATACCAGATAATGTCCCCCGTGAAAAAGTAATTATATATTTTTTAAATAAAAATTTGTTATTTGATATATTATTTACCTTGACATTATCTAAACAATCATTCTCTTTTTTTTTAAAACATTATTTAGGTTGTATTGCTTCCAGCTTCCACAGATCCATTAGATGGTTTAAATAAAGAATTAAAAGATTCAGACAAAGGATATTATAAATTAATTTATAATCGTTTATCAAATGATCAATGTGGTGTAGTAATAGATTTTCAGAGACCATATATTGTTCAAGTTGCTAGGTTTGACCCAAGTAAAGGTATTATTAATTTATTATATTATTATTGCTTAAAAAAAATTCTTTTTCAATATTAATTTTTAATATAATATAATATCATTATAGGTATTCCATTATTAATTGAATCATTTAGATTATTTAGAAAGAAATTGGAAAATACAGGTTGGAATAACTATGGAATGCCCTCATTAATTATATGTGGTGCTGGTAGCATAGATGATCCTGATGGTACATTAATATATGAACAAATTCATTCTTTGTTAAAAGAAAGTGTATATCAAGATATAGTTGATGATATATCAGTTGTAAGATTACCACCTTGTGATCAACTTTTTAATACAATGTTAAGATGTGCACATGTTGTATTACAATTAAGTACACGAGAAGGATTTGAAGTTAAAGTCACTGAAGCTTTGGCAAAAGGTGTACCTGTTGTAGCTTTTAAGGCTGGTGGTATACCACTACAAATTCG